GCAGTGTTTAGGGGGTTCCCCCACCCCTCTGCTTCTGGAGGCACCGCTGGGCACCAGCTCCGAAAACACTGCCCAGAAAAGTCATTGATGCCCCAATCCCTGGGAGTGCCCAAGGCCAGGCTGGAGTCACCTGGCCTGTGGAAGGTGTCCCTGCCCTCAGCAGAGTGGGTGGAACGAGACGAGCTTTAAGGTCCCTTCCAACCCAACCCATTCCATGATTTTCTTGAAAACAAGGCCAAAAATGGGCCAATTCCTGCAGGCAGGAGGTGGGCACCCTGTGCCTGCAGCCCGTGGAGGGAGGCAGAGGGAGCAGACAGTATCCATGATCCCCACGCTGCAGGAATGCTCTGCAGTCCCGTCCCCTCTCACCAAAATAATCCGAGCGCTGGGGCAGCGGCCAAACCACAGGAGAATTCCAGCCAAGAAAGCCTCTCTCAGTAGTAGGGAAACAGCAAACCCTGTAACTGTTTTTCCAGATCAGCACAATTATAGCTTGAAATCCGCCAGGCAGATTCTGCCCTCCCTTCTCCCCCTCCTTCTCCCCTTGGCCGGGCTCGGACTGGGAACGTCACGTCTGTGCCTGGAGCAGCTGCAGGGCTGGGGGTCGGGGCTGCCCCTCTCCAGGAACCCTTGGGAAGGGGGGAAAGTTCAGGGGGGCTCAAAAGATGATTTTTGGGGGGTTTAGGGGGGTAAACCCTTCACTGGGGTTTCAGAGCTGCAAAGTGGGGCTGGGACAGCACAGGACACAAGCTCGGGATGGGCAGGGAGCTCGGGAGCATCCCAACCACTCGACCCCCAGATCTGAAGCCCAGAGGGACCCACTGTATTTATTATTTCTACAGCTTCTGAGGGCTAATGGATGTTTATTCCCAGGGCTTTCCTTCCACAGCCAGTTCTTCTCGAGCTCCATTTTTTGCATAGCTGGGAACCCTCAATGCACAGCCACTGGCTGGTCCTGGCACTCACGTGGAGCATCCCAGATGCTGCCATTGCCCTGTGGAGACACAACCAACCCCCTGGACCCCCTTTCCCTCTCCTACTCCTGTCCTGGGATGTCTGGTGGCAATGGGAAGCTGAGGGCAGTGGTTGGAGTGTCCTCCCACGCACGTGTGAGAGGAGGGAATTGTCCTTCCTTAGGGAATGACACAGCTCCTGCTCATGGCATGACAGGGAGCAACCAAGACAAACAAAACTGGAAGGAGATGAAAGATAGAGGGAATTTTTTTCCCTCTTCCCCCTGCTCTTGGACCCCAGATTTGATGTGATTCCAGTTTGTGTTGGCCACAAACATCCCTGAGCACCGTGAGAAGAGCACCCGTGGGAGCTTCCACAGGGACACACATCCCATGGGAGTTTGTGGAAACACTTTGCATGTTTGAACACACTTATTTTAGCCCCAAAAAAACCGTCCATCCACAGCAACAAACCCGCCTGGATTTGATTCACACCTTAAACCCCCCAAAATGGCCCAAACCAGAGCAGGAGCTGGGGCAGAGGAGCAGCACTAAGTCAGCTCACCCCTTCAGGTCAACACCACAATCGCCTCTCTCCTCACAGCAACTCCCTAAAACTCCTTCCAGCTCCTTTTGCCCCAAACCAGCAGCCCAGGGAGCTTCCATTCCCCCCAGGATGCTCAGATCCCACAATTCCAGGTACCAGGAGGCTCTAGGGCTGGGCAGCCACAGCCCAAGTGTTGCTGCACAAAGCCCTGGGGCACTTCAGGATGAGCTCCAGTAACCTGTTGTCATCTTTTCCATTCACATACTCGCAGAAGGCACCTCCAGCTTAATGAAGAAGAGAGAGAAGGTGTTGAGAGGGAGCTTTGAAAGCCACTCTCTGCTCTGGAAGGCACTGGAGAAAACTCACCCCCCAAACCCACCAGCTTTTCGAGCACTGTATATCCAAGTGGATTTTTTCCTCCCCCTAGAGTTTAATAATCTGAATTCTTTCCTCATGGATTTTCCACTATCTGGGCTGGAATTACAGCCCTCACGTGCAAATGATCTGGGTCGTTCTGCAAAAGCTTCAAGAAAGGGAAAAACTCATTAAAAAGATACCTGGAGAATATTATCTCTAAATTTATATACACCTAAATATGCCTTTACACACACATGTATATGTATTTTTAATATATATATATATCTATAAGCTGCTTTGAAACCCCTTCTAAACCCACCCACAGCAGCCAAAAGCAGCATTAAGAGGCTCAGACTGAAGGAGAGGTGCCAAAGTCCTCGGATTCCACGCCTGGAATTTGGCAGCCGGGTCCGCGCACGTCGCTGGAAGCGCACGAGCCCCTGAGATACCCATCGAGCTCCTCTGTGCTCTCCTGTGCCCCTCTGGACTCTGCTGAACTCCCCTGGGATGGGATTGAAACCTGGCTCCTGCTTTCCCAGCCACTGGGGTTTTCATCTTTCCATCTGCACCGCTCCTGGCAGCTCCTGGGCTCAGCCCCGTCGTTATCCCGCTTGTCCCTGCTTTGTTCCGGAGGTTTTTGGGTCTGGAGCTGCTCCCTCACTTCTCCTTCAGCCAGGGGGAGTCACGGTGGCCTCGTTTTTTAACGGTGCCCACACCTGTCACAGACACTGTGTGCTGCACAGCTGCAGATGGGGATGATGCTGGGTTTGTGTGTGTATTTACACCCTCCTGCTCTGCAGGGAAAGGTGGTGTTTTCATGCAGAGCAACCAAAACCAGAGGAAAGGAGACCTGTGTCCTGCCTGATGTTGGCAGGAGAAATGGGAGAACAGACAAAATAAGCCAGGGCTGCTCTTTGCTCCAGTGTCCTGCTGGGAAAAGCGAGGATTTTTATCCCCTTTCACTGATCTCCAGCCCTTGACCACTCTATCAGTGGTGGTGGCAGCTCCAAGGTGTGAGAAGAAGCATAAGAGACTCCTAATGGCACAGGAATTGGAGTCCCCCTGCTGGGATGATGGATTAAACAGCACCTACAGATGCAGCTGGGCTGGAAATATTCCCCAAAATGGGTGTTTTCCACCGATCTCCCTCAGAGAGCTCCCTCTGGGCAGAAATCTCTGCGGGCACTGAACACTCAAGGGGTTCCCTGCTGCTGGTGTTCCCAGGGAAAGCAGACCCTGAGGGGTGGGAGGGAATTGCACAGGATCCCTCATAAATCCTGGGATGGTTTGGGTGGGAAGGGACTTTAAAGCTCATCCCATCCCACCCCCTGCCATGGGCAGGGACACCTCCCACCAGCCCAGGTTGCTCCAAGCCCCGTCCAACCTGGCCTGGGACACACCCAGGGATTTGGCTGTTTAGGATGAAATGAGATATGGAAAAGGGATGTTCTCCAGAAGAAGAGGCAGGAGGAATGTGGTGGCAGAGACACTTGGTTCCTGTTCCTTATCTGCTTCCGAGAACCACGATCCCTGAACATCCTCTCATCCCGACCTGGCAGGACCTCTGGAGCCTCTTGCAGGAGCCAGAGCAAATACCACCAAATGTTTTGGGGTTTTGGATCCCTTCCTGATGGAAAATATTTCACATTTTGTTCGTTTTGCACACGAGGAGCTCCTGGGCCCCAAAGCATCAGAGTGCCCTGGAGAGCACAAACCCATCCCGCCTTCCCAGACACCCCATGGAGCAGCTGAGGGATGGAGATACCACCCTCCCTTAGGAATCAGGCACATGGAGACACCCAGATGTGCTCCAGCACTGCAAGGAGGGAGATGAGGATGGAAGACCTTCAGGTCAGGAAGAGGAACATCCTCTGCAACATCAGCTCCTCGCCCAGGTCTCCAGCACAGGACCTTGCAGGGATTTGTTTCATTTACTGGAACGGCTCCACAGCCGTGTTTATGCTCCAGTGACTCTGGCCATCAGCTGCCTAAAATTCTTTCACCCCCAAAAAGCATTTATTTGGGTAAATATCCACATTCTCAAGCAAAGAAAAGGTGGAGGGCTCTGCCCCATCCGGATGTTTCTGGATTCCTAAGGGTAAGCTGGGTTGGGAAACAGTCCCATAGCACAGGTTCATGGACAGGGAGGAGGAAGAAGATCCCAAGAGGCCTCCTGGTCCCTGGCAGGGCTCTCTGGGAGCACCAGAGCCCCCCCAGCCCTGGGGCTGCAGCATCAGCATCACCCTCTTAATGGGATGCAAAATTCCATCTGGGAAAACCACACGGTCCTTGCAGCAAACAGAGCCAGCAGAGAGAGGGACCACAACTGGCCCCAAAATTCCTGCACATGGAAACAGCAGCTCAGCTTGAGGACACAGGAGGACATCCAGCCCCAGACACCAGCACAGGCACAATGGGTTTGATTCCTGAATTCCAGGAGCATCCACGTGCATTAATTCTGTGTTTTCCTGCTGCCTCGAGCCTGGCTGTCACCCACCCTGGGACAGATCCCACAGAAATGGGGGTGCAGGGAATTTCATGGGCTCTGAAGCTGCCCTGCTCCCCACAGCATCCAGCTGTGCTGCTGGAGAGCCCCCGGGGGCTCTGCCAACATCTGGGCAGGGTCTCCCCGTGGGGATCAGCCCTGGCAAGCAGCAAAACCCCCCTCAAAACCCAAAGCTGGAGCAGGGCCCACCCAAGGCTCATCTCACGTTCCTGATGGACACAGGCAGGGCTGAGCACTTCTGCAGACCAGGCTCTGATGGAAACTCCAGGAAATGGGATGGCCCCCACCCAAAACCCAGGTGGGTTTCCAGCAGTGCCGGAGTCCAAGGGGCTCCAAGGACCGAGGAACCTGCCTGGAGCAAAGCCCTGTGCAGGGGAGGCAAATGGGCAGGAGCCAGGACAGCCCCCCTCCGTGCACAACCCGACCAAAATATCCCCTTATCCCCTCCCAAAACTCCGCCTCTGGAAAGGCAAAGGGTTTCTGGGCTCTGCTTCCCTCAGCACCACCACGAGCAAATCTCAGTCTCCCCGGAGCCACAGCACTCCCCACCCCAAAGCAGGGGTCAGATGGAGCAGGAGGAGACAGGCAGAGTGTTGGGAGGGTTGTTTTGGCTTCCCCCTGCCCAGAGCTCACTCACCATTTCTGGCCCCCGATGTCGTGCTGCTGCACCGTGTAGCCAAAATAGGCTTCCTTGGAGCCAGCGATGATCCTGGGCCTCCTGGTGTCGATGTTGAAGGTGTCACTGAGCCCTGGGAGAGAGCAGAGGGGTCCTGTCAGCCAAGGGCTGGGCTGGGAGCAGAAAACACCCCTTGGCTGTGGCCACACACGGACCAGCTCACCCCGAGGGGTCTCCACCCATGGAGAGGTTCAGACTCTGGCACACAGCCCTGGCAGCCTGGACCAGGTGACCTTCAGAGGTGCCTCCAACCCCAGCCATCCCTGCTCCCCCAGGTCATATAACATGCCCCAGGATGGTCCCTGCATGAGCCAGGGGTGCTTTGACCCCCTGTGGCACAGCATTCCCACACCACCACAAGGACAGGAGGCTGCAAGACCCAAAACACGTCAGACCCTCCTCACCTGGGGCCACCCAGCACTCCTGTGCCCATCCCTGAGCTCCCAGGGAGTTTCCAGCCTCAAGGTTAGAGCTTTAAGCAGGATCATTCAGGGTTTAGAGGCCACAGCTGCACAAGCCCTTCCCCACCCACCTGCAAAGCTCATCCACCAGCTCATCCTGATGCAAAAGGGGACCAGCTGGAGCCAGGGTGGGCATGGGGAGGAGAAAGGAAAGCATCTTCCTCCTCTCTGACACATCCTGGCTCTTCATTCCCACTTGGACAGAAAGGAGCTGCTGGGTGATTCATGCAAATAAAAGATCCTTCTTAAGAAGGGCTGCGACAGCAACAGAAGGCTCGTGGCTGGTATTTACAGGGGCATAAAGGAGCTGCCAATAGGAGAGGTTGGGAATGCTGCTCCCAGGCTGAACAATCCAGGATGGAGAGTGTTTTGCTAGGTAGGAATGTCAGGGATAAAGCTGATTTTTGCAGGCACAGGAGCAGATCTGCAGCTTTGGCTCCGTGGGGAGGGAGCGGAGCAGCCCGGCCAAGGAGGGCTGAGGTGAAGCAGCAAATCAAAATTTCTTTCTGATCCTACAAAAAGAAACTCTAGAAAGCAGGGATCAAAAAAAAATACCCCAAAAAAAAAGAAAGAAAAAGGAGACAGACATGAGAGCCAGCATATTTTGTGGTGCACTGACCTCATTTAACACTACAAAACAAATTAAAACCTCCTCTGAGTAACTGATACCCGAGGGAGAAACACAGAGTGGGACTGGGCAGCAGAGGAGCGATGGGCAAGGGGGGCTGGAGCACCCTGGGCTGTCACTGCTGCCACCAGAGAGACCCTGGATCTGGCTGGAAAATCCATGGGAAGAGGGGGGTTTTAGGGAGGGGGTTTTGCATTCCCAGCAGGTTCAGTTCCAGGCTGTGCAGAAGCACCTCGGGTGCAGAGCGAGGGTCAGAGAGGATGTGATGGATTTCCATCTGATTTATTTTTGCATTATTTTGCACTGCAGAGGGTTTGGGGAGTTGGGAGCACTGGGATAAGTTGGGGAATCCCATCCCATGGCTCCTTGGTTTAGGACCACATCGTGGAGCTGCAGTAAAAGGCAGCCAGGCCATGGAAAACAACACAAACCCTCAAATAAACAGCAGAAATATTTCATGAAGTGGGAAATCTCTGAGCTGGTGGGAGAGCTGTGAGGGACACCCCAATCACAGCAGGTAGCAGGCACTGGGGAAGGGGATGAGGCTGGAAAAGCAGAAAGATCTGGGAGCAGAAGTCTCCAGGCTGGCAGAGGGGAGGAATGTCCAAACCCCGACGGACGTGGGTGCACTCGAGGCACAGAGAACCAAAACAAAGAGCAGAGAGTGTTTGATCTGGCTCCAGCTCATGGGAGCTTGAGCAGGGGCTGTCAAGGACATTCAGCAACCCCAAAGAGCCCAGGCTCATTTTCTTGTCAGGAGTGACATCACTGTCAGCAAGAAGTGACCAAAAGCCACATGTTTTGCTTGTGAGGCCGCCAAGGCAGGAAGCCTCAAATTCCTCCTTTCCGAACTCGGAGCTTCTGTCGGCTCCAAACTTTTGATTCCTGTCAGGTCGAATATCGAAAAGAGAAGAAAATCAGACGCATTTGGGAAACAATGATGGGAATAAAAGCCACCTTTGCTGCCAGAAAGGATAAAAATAAGTCCTCCCTGTAAGGGAAACCTCTGGGAGGGGGATGGTCGGTCCCGGTGCCATCGTCCTGCCTGGATCCTTAGGCAGGCAGTGGGATCCAGAGCTGGAAAGGGGACTCTGGAAAGGGGACTCTGGAAAGGTGCCTGGCAGCACTGGTGGTGCCCTGAGCCTGTTTTTACTTCCATGAGAAGTTTGAGGCTCTATTTTGCTTCCTTTGCTCCAGAGCTTTCTGATTCCAGGAGCTGCGAGCCAGGCACCGGAGCTGCCGGAAGAGTTTCCCTGTTTTTATTTGACTGGGAGGGAAATGCAGGCAGTGTTTTTAACTGAATCATGCAAATCCAGCCCTTTTCATTCACCTCCAGCACTGTCCCAGCTCGGGATGGAGCTCCTGGAGAGAGGCTGAGCCGACACGGAGCAGTGACGCTTGGGAGAAGATCCCAACGTGCCCATCCCATGGGATTCTGTGTCATAGGTATGGGGCACTCCAGGGGACCCAGGGAAAAGGCTGTGAATGGGACACGAGAGGAGCACGTGCCACGCCAGGCTCTTGCTTCCCTGCAGGGATGAGCCAGCTGCTCCCTGGAGGAGCCTGGGAGGGCATGGCAGAGGGAGAGCTCCCATCTGCCAGGAACCTGCAGCGTGCCGGGGCCAGGCAGCTCCGGCTGCCACCTCAAAACCGGCCCTGCCGCTCTCAATCCCATCTCCTCTCCTCACTCAAGCCCAGAAGGAGTGGGCAGCGGGTCCATGGATGTGATCCCTGCATCCTCAGCATCCCTGGGGATGCCACTGGTGACCCAGCACTGGGCTGGGCTCCTGTGATTCCTCCCCATCCCCATCCCCATCCCCATCCCCATCCCCATCCCCATCCCCATCCCCATCCCCATCCCCATCCCCATGTGGGATTTGGTGGCACCAGGTGCTCCTTTGCATCCCATCACTTGTTCTTTTCCTAGGACTGAAATATTTGGCTGACCAAGGAAATCTTTAAGCTCGATAAGGGACATTGAGGCAAAAGCTGCAAGAAGGAGCAGGAGGGGCCACGTGTCCTGGTGCTTCCCTCTGGCTTTAATTCCCAGGAATCCCTCTGTGCCAGATGAGATGCTGACAGCACCCAGCTCCTCTCCATGTGCCTATCTCAAAGCCAGCATTTGTCATCAGCTATTAGGAAACAGCCCAGGCTTTTGGTGGCTGCTGCAGCAGGGGATGAGGAGCCAGGGAATGCTGAGGATGAACAGAGGGATCAGTCATTCCCGGCTCGTGTGTCGTAACATTCCTGCTCAGCCACAGAACCTCTGACAAACAGCTCCGGGGCTGCAGCCACACAAGCACCTTGTGCTTCCAGAATTCCAGCTTTCTGGGCCCCCCAAAAGTGGGGAGGAGCTGTTTGATGGCCACGTTTTGCAGCCCTGAGGAACGTGGGGATTGCTCATTTGTGATAACGCCAATCAGGAGTAAATAGCAGCAGGTCTTCCACTGCCCCTTTCCCAGGAAAATGCCAGGAAAGCCACAGGTTATTCTCAAATAAACATCTGGGGGAGGATATTTATTGGATCTTTCCAGGTCAAGCCTTGGCCAGTGGATGGACAATGGGGAGGAGGGGGGTCCCACTCAGCTGCACTGCTGGGGCTGTGCAGTCACCCAAAATTGTCTCCACCATCAGAGCCTGGGCTGGAGGGTCCTCAGGAACCCACCTGGCCAATCCCAAAGGTGCCACGCGGAGCCAGCACGATGGTTTTGCCATTTGGTGACCCTTGGGAGAGGGCAGGATGGCACTGCCTTCTCTGGGAACCCCAACTGGAGAGGGCAAACTGCTGCGTGCGTGGTGGGACCCACGGACACCTCAGCACAGCCCCCCTGGAGCCTTCGGGAAGTCCTGACCCACCAACACCCCGTGTGGGTGCCCAGCAGGGCACCACTGTGGGCACAAAACCTCACGGGCTGAAACCCCCACAGGCAGAAACCCCTGGGTACCAAAACCACCACGGGCAGAAACATCCAAGGGTAGAAACCCTCCAGGATGGAAACATCCATGGGCAGAACCCCCTGGATACAGAACCCCCCGTGGGTAAATCCAGTGCTAGGCAGGATTCCCGCCCAGCCAGGGCAGGGCAGAGCTGCCCATGTGCCACAAACCCGAGTTCCTCCTGCAGAGCCCACCCTTTGTGTCTGAGCAGCGTCTCCCCGGGGTGAGGGGTTTTCACCCCACGGGCCGCGTCCCCGCCGTGGGCAGGGCAGGGCTGTGCCCTCCACGCAGGCAGCCCCACGCTGGCCACAGGCAGGGCACACATGGTCCCCATTAACCGAGCAAAGCAGCTCCGCCGCCGCTGCTTGAAAGGATCCGCCACCAGAGAGGGGGAAAAAAAAGCAAAGCAGCCATAAAAAAAAAAAAACCAACCAGCCTGGCGTGCGTTTCCACCAGGATGTTTGGGAATGCTTGGCTGGGGGAGGCGTGAGCCCGTGGCCGCGCTCCTGGTTTGGGGAAAGGCTTTTTATCCCCCCGCTTTCAGCCCAGTTTGGCAGCTCCGAGCCCGGCTGCGGGCGGGAGGGTGGCAGATGGGATTGAAAAGAGGAATTACCGGTGCTGGGACGCTTTCCTGCAAGAAGAGAGCCCGAGCGAGCCGGCAAGGAGCATAAAAATCCATCCCCGCTCCCATCCCAGCCCCCGGCAGCTCGTCCCGCTCGGGATAAGCTGCAGGCTCAGCTCCTGGAGCCAAACCCTGCCTAAAACCCCCTCTGAATTTATTTAAACCCGAGTCTTTTGTGCCGCAGGACGCGAACCACCTGTGGGACACAACGTTGGTTCTGAATAAAAGGGTCGTTCGTTTGGCGGGTTTTCTTCCCCCCACCATCTGATGCTTCAGGAAAACACCAATTAATCCTGTTCCTCCAAGCCGAGGAGGGGGGTCCACCCGCCCGCTCGTTCCTGGGGAGCCCATCAAGGATCTCCATCCCTCCCAAGCAGCCTCCTCAAAGGCTCCCAGCTCCCTCCCTCCCTCCCGCTGCCGGCAAAACTTTTCCAAGAGCCTCATTAACCTTGGGCTTTCTCCAGCACCTTCCCCAGGTCAGCCAAAGTTATTCCCGGTGGGTTTCGCCCCGTTTGAGGAGTCGGGGTGGGCGCAGAGGGCACTTACCGGGCAGGAGGCAGAGGGAGCAGGCGAGGAGCATCCCGCTGGGAAGGGCCATGGGAGCTGCCCCGCTCCCCGCGCCGGAGCATCCGCGGGGGCAGCCGGCCAGACTGGTAGCGCCTCTATCCCAGAGCCCTTTCCTTATCCCAGCCTTTCCCGGCTCCCTGACAGGAGGCGAGCATCGGGAGGGAGTGGGAGGGACGAGAGAACTTGGAGGAGGTGCAGCAGGAGCGGACGGAGCGGGGACAGCCCTCGCACGGCCCGGCACCCTTTAGGGAGCGGCTTCCCCGAGAGCTGTGCCAGCCGGGAATTCCATCCCACGGCAGCGCCTGGGGCCTCCTGGGAACCCCTCAGCCCGCGGGGGAGCTTGGGGATGGAAGGATCACTGATGGTTGAGGGGTGTCACCTCTGCTGGGTGTCACCTTCACTCAAGTGTCACCTCCACTTGGGTGCCACCCCCAGCTGGACATCATCTCTGCTCAGGTGCCACTCCTAGGGGGGAAAAGAGTGACACCAGTGCCCACAGCACCCAGGAGGTGGCTGTGATGCCACAGGGCACCACAAAGCTCTGGGATAACCGGTCACACCATTGAGTTTCCCCTGCACCCACCCGGGCACCCAGTCCTGGTGGGCAAGAGAGCCCAGTGGGGAAACCACAGCAAAGGGGCAGGAAAAACTGCTGGGGAGTGTTTCCTTCCCTGTCCTGCTCCCCACAGGTCCTGGGTCAGCGTCCCCACAAGAGCCACCCCTGGCACTGAGATCCCTCTGGGCTGGGCACCCCACACCCATGAAGTCCCTCAGCACCCCAGGGTGGCACTTCCTCCCTCCATCCTCTCCCTCCCCGGGCTGCTGGCACCTTTTGGAGGTGATTGCCAGGAGGCAGCTCCAGCTGCAGCTCAGCTCTCACCCTGGTTTTGTGGCCAGCTGGGGTGGCTCCAGTGGGGAAGGGGGATCCAGCCACATCCTCACTTCCATTTTTCCCAAGCGGAAAAGATCAATCCAGGCTTTGGTTTAGTTTCAGACACAGCAGATGTGACCCAGGAGGTCCTTCCCTGTCCAATCCATCCCCAGCACTTGAGAACAGGAGCATCTCCACATTCAGCCCTGAAGGAGCTCGCTGGGGAGAGCAATTGAAGCTCCTTGAAGGAGCTTTATCCCTTTTCCCACCCAGCTGAGAGCAAAGATATTTTGGGATGAGTCCAAACACCAATGTCTCTGTCTACCAAGTGTCTGTCAGACAGTTTGGGGGCTGCAGGAGGGAGATAAGCTCTGCTCAAACACTCTTGCCTGAAAGACTGTCTGGGAGATCCAGTTTCTTTTCATTCTTCCCTCTTCCCTCCCAAAAATACACATTTGAGGTCTGCAGGAGGGAGAGGACACATGGCTGGGACACAGATCAAAGGCAGCAGGAGGATCCAAAGGGGTGTGGAGATGTGGATGCTCCTCAGCTTGTTTGTGCAGTGCTCCTTCCACCAGCAAAACGCTGCCTGACAGAGATTTCCAGCCCTCAGCTGCATTTCCCAGCTGGTTTCCCCCGTAAAACTCCAGAGCAAAAAACATTTCAGGGGGGGCAGCAACAACTTAAAGGGAACGAGATGCATTGCTGGGTTGGTGAAAGTCAGTTTTTCAGGGAATAAAAAGCTCAGACAGGAAGCTCAGCTGTGATTTAAAGCAGAGTAAGCAGAGCACAGAGGGAGGGATCCCTGAGAAGTGGATGCTCCCAGCAGAAGTCCCAGCCCTGCAGCTCCTGCTCCCAGCCCGGGGCACGTTGGGGGAAATCCCTTGCTGGGAACTCAACTCTCCCAGGCAGCTGGAAGGCAAGCCAGTTTTCCACGAAAAAATAAATACATTTTCAATAGAATACCAAAAACCCCTATGTAATATCTTAAAATCCGCCTCTTGCTTCAGTTCCCAGAGGGGTCGTTTGGAAGCAGGTCGGTGGAACCAGCTGGATCAAAGGGATTTTGGGGGGAAAACAGCACCAGAAAAAGGGTCCTGGGCCTGGTGTTGTGCTTCCCTTGGGGTCTCAAGCACAACATTTCCCAAGTTAAAACACTCCATGGAAAACCAAGCGGCAGCAGCTGCTCCTGCCTCCAACTGCCTGGCCTGGAAACCAGCAGAAAGTTGGATTTACTGGGATCTGCTGTCCCACTCCTGCCAAAGGACTGGCCTCAGGAGGTTTCTCTGCACCAACCAGAGTTCCTGTGCAGCAAAGCAGAAAGAAAAAGCCCGGGGATGCTCTGGGGTCACGAGTGATGCGAAGTAAAAAGGGTCTGAGAGACGCCTGTAACGGTCACAAAACAATTTGCAAATCCCTGGGGGGGGTGTGGGGGTTAATCCAAATTGGACCTGACTGGGATGAACTGCACTGAATTTCTGCAGAACTGGTTTCAAAGGAGAAGTCACTCAAGTGGCTGCATCTCCCCTCAGCCTCCTCCTCCTGTGCTGAGTTATCAGAGCTCACCCTTGGACATCTTAACACGACCCAGCCCTTGGCACGAGCGAGAAGTGCCAGGCAGGAGTTCAAAGGAGAAAAGCTGCGCTCTGACAATATTGATGTCATCCTTCCAAAATGTAAACAGCTGTCGGGGGGGAGTGATGGATGGAGAAACAAGAACCCAAGGAAACTGGGGGATTTCAGCCCCTTGCAAGAAGTTGCCATGGGGACATCCCCCGACACCGGGCAGGAGCTGCTCTGTGGGCTCCTCGCTGGCCAAAAAGCCAGGGAAGAGAATTTTCATGGATCCATCATGTGATATTAATCCTGTAAAAAGAAAAAAAAAGAGCTGCCTTCCCAATTCATTTTTTTCTTTGGATCCTGCTTGGATTTCAGGGCTGTTCCATCCAGCCCGGGAACCTCTTTCCAAAATCTCTCCTCCTGCAGCAGCGTGAAGGAGAGACCCACACGTGCTGCCATGGGCTGAGCCCCAAACCCAGCTGAAGGAGGGGCGTTTTAGGGGTTTTTGGGGTTTAGTCTGGTTTTATCCCCTCTCCCAGCTGCAGTGAAGGCAGAAGAAGGGGGTGGTTTCCACATGAGCACCGTGAGGGACAAGGACCAGTCGCTTCCTCACGGGACCAACACCTGCCAGCCATCTCCAGCAGAGCCCAGCACAGCTCCAAACAAACTGCAGGAGCCTTGGAAGTGCAGCAGGAAAAGATTTGCTGGGAGCTCTCCCTGGGATCTGAGCTAGACCCACTGGAGCTGGTCTAGGGGATGGCGTCCCTGTTCATGGTGGGTTTGGAAGGAGATGGTTTTGTGGCCACTTCCAACCCAAGCCATTCTGGAATTCCATGGATTTCTCTGTGTTGGGTTTTGCTGGGGGTAGGGGGAGGCTCAGAGCCAGGATTTTGGGCTTGGCAGGTGCTTGCAGGATCCATCCCCTCCAGGGAATGGTGTGTCCCACCAAAACCAACCCAGTGAGAGCAGCACCAAACCCTCGGGGCCCTCCACCAGCCAGGAATAAACTAACGGAGAAAGTGAGACCCAAACCAGTTTCCTCCTGCAAAGAGAGCAAAGCAGCAGCTTCCAGAGGGGAACAGCAGCTCTCAGCTCCCAACCCCGACAAATCCTGGCTGCCCAGGAACCTTTCTGCTCTCGTGGCTCAGATGTCTCAAGTCTGGGATTAAAAAAAAACCCTTATTTTCTCTGGAAACCTGAGAGTTTCCAAGGAAAGCATCAGTGTAAACTGAGGCTCCTGCACCTTGGAGATGATCCATGCTCTGTGTCCAACCTCACTGGGCCTGATCCACCCCATCCCTCCAGCAGGACAAAACCCCAGAGCTGAGCTCTGCACCTGAGCCCTGGGAAAGGCTTTTACCTCCCCAAGCATCAGCATTTCCTGCAAATCCCATCACAAGTGGGGGAAAAAGCAAGGAGAGAACAGGCAGGGATGGTTTTGACAAAGGGCAGCGAGTTCAGCTGGCTGCAGAAATAATCATGGAATTAACAGCCATTCCCAAAGGGAAGATCTCGTGTCTTCCACATTAACATCCTTGGATGGACTTTCTCCTGAAATCTGGAGGAGGAGAAAGCTGCACTGGCCACGTCCTTGCAGCTGGAGTGGGGGTGACCCTGGGCTAAAGATGGACCAGCACCGAGCCTCTGTCCATCACTGGGGTGGAAAAACCTGGGAGTAACTGTAAATTAAAATCATAAAACCCCGGAATGGTTTGGGCTGGGAGGGATTTTAAAGACCTCATTCCAACCCCCCCTCCACCACGAGCAGGGATGGCACCCACCAGAACCTCCTTCCCTGCACCCAAATCCCACCCCAAAGCCCCCGAGCCCCACACGAACCTCGTGCCACTGACTCCCTGCCCGACCTCCATCCCAGGGTCAGCCCAGCACTTCCCTGAAGGTTTTCCCACGTCTGCTCAGATTTTCCAACCTCCAGCAGATGCCTCCTTGAGCCTGACCTTTGGGAGGGTGTCATGCGTTGGATGCTTTCGCCTCTGGAGTTTTGGAAGAATTAAGTTAGAAACGAGGAATGTAAACAGAGGCTGGGAATGAAAACAAAATCCTGAATTCCCTGGTAGAAGCAGAGGAAGGGCTGATGGTGACGTGGGAGCTGCTCCTGGCTGTGGAGGGGCTGGGGTGCTCCCAGGGGGCTCCTCCCAGGTTTTAGGGAAGGAGGGATGCAGGTTGGGTGCTCTGGAGCACCGAACACTGCTCAAACGCTGGGTCTGGGTGAGGATTTGTCACCCCTGGTGATGGGGAGCAGCTCCAAGCTGTTTCCTGGAGCACGTGGCTCATCCTCACTCCTGGCCATGCCGGCTCTGCTGAGCTCAGAGCTCTGGAGACTCGGCTGTCCGAAACAAAAGCTGCTGTAAACACCAAAGCAGGCTCTGCAGAGCCCCAGCTCTGCCCCCGCCAGGACACGTCACGTCTGCCCGAGCCTGCAGTGACCCCGAGCGACCCATCCGGGGTGCTCCAGGGTTATTTCTGTGCCCTGGGATTCTCCCAGCGCTTGGGAGCAGAGCAAAGTGCCAGCTGGGATCGCTCTGGGTCCAGGGAAGCAGCGGGAGAACAGGAAAGGGAGATTAAAAAAAAAAAAATTCACAGAATCCCACATTGGTTCAGGCTGGAGGAGACCTTGAAGATCATTAATTCCATTCCAGGGACACCTTCCACTCCATGGAGGGCGCTGAATCAGCACCCAGGGAGCAGGGAAAGCCCAAATTACGCTCCAAGGGTGATGTCCAACATCTGCTTCCCCCTGCCCTGAGCAACCCCATGGTGGCCACAGGGTCCCTCCACCTGCACTCCCCATCCCAGGCAGGCACAGGGACCTCCCATCCACCCCCTCCTCCAGGGAAACTGAGGCTGGCACAGCCACAGCCACCACCCAGCTCCAGACACAACAGCACAGCCACAAAACCTCCCCTAACCCCAGAGAAACCCTCCAGGGAAAGTGGAGCTCCAGAGACCCACTGGCTCTGCTTTTTGCTTTCTGTTTTGGGGTTTTTTTGTTGTTGTTGTTGTATTTCCAAAAAGGAGGAAGTAATTTAACCTCTGGAAAGTGGAGACTTGGCACCTCTGCCGTGTTTGCAAGAACTTTGGCCCTCAGCTCCCAGCACTCAATTAGCAGGAGCTGCACTTCTGAACCATTCCCAAGTGCTTCCCTCCCTCCCCTTCCCCGCCACCAACCCCGGGAGGGGCTGGGCTTTGAGGGGGCTGAGGGTGGTGGCAAAACCCACCCCTCCCAAATTCTCTTTTTTACAAAAATACACCCAAAAATCCACCAGCTGAGATGTTCCTTGGGGGGTGTTTCTGGCTGTGCTGGCACAGCCACAAACCTTCACCCCTCCTCCCCAAGAGCTGCTTTGGGGAGCACATCCAAACCCTCCTGAGGGATCTCCAGAGCCACAGGAACCCCCTGGCAAAGCAGGGAATGGCAGAGGAGGAGCAGGATCTGCAGGGATGGGGTCCCCCCACATTTAAGGTCTCTCCTCCCTTTTTCCCCAATCCAAGGCTCCCCACAATCCAACCCTCCTCCTAATTCCCTATTTACAGCCCTCTCACTGGAAAAGAAGGTTTCCAACCCGGGAATTTCTTTGTTTACTTAGCCAGCAATCATTTTTTTTTTTTTTGTCTATTTATTTAGTCTCCCTCTCTTTATTTCTTACTCTGAATGAACAAACACCCACCTGGATAATGAGCTGTTAAGAGGAATCCCTTGGGATCCTCAGCTTGTGCTGGATAACTGGGCAGAATTCCTGGGCTGACCAGTGGCACTCATAGACTGGAGAAATTCCCAGGTACCACAGCCTGGATCCTTGCATTAAAAAAAAATAAAAATAGAAAAAAAAAATCACATGTTTGGGGTTTTTCCCTCTAAAAGAAGGGCTGGCTGGATCCCTGGGAATCCCTGGGAAAGTCCTGGCATCACTTAACCTCCCCCCCCCTCAAACCAAGAAAGTGAAAGCAAATTATTCCCCAATAAACCCAGAATATTTTCCCTGGGGAATTGCAGGGAAAAACCAAACAAACCCCTTTAATGCAACTTCTCTGAGCTGTTGTGAATATTATTCACTGTCCAGCTCCTCCCAGGTTTCTGCTCCCTCCTGGAGCAATTCCTCCTGTCTGGAGGCAATCCCTGAGCAACTGGAATTCCAGCTGGGGATGGAGCAGGGGGGGTCTTTGCAGTTTTGTTCTGCTGAGGGGACACAACAGGGCCAAGCTCTGAACACAAGTGGTAAAACCATTTCAAGCTTGGGCTGTCAGAGGAGGTGCCAAACCGGCCCCGTGCAGTTGGCAGGCCCCAAAAACCCCAGGATCAGAGGAGAGCTGGATTAATTCACTGCTGAACCTCCTGCAGGGGAAAATATGCAACGGGAAAAGTGACTCTGGGCATAAAATCTGAAGAAAAAAAAAGAAAAAAAAGATTTTCAGACTTGCTCTTCCTGCTGTGTGTGAAAAGGGGGGGCAGAGCTGGGAGGAGGGTGATGGATCCATCCCCATGGACCTTCTGCTTGGACACACCACATCCCCCAGGGCTTAGATAAGGGATTTCACTGGCACCACACAGCTCTGAGCTTCCAGGGATCCACCAGGGTGGGAATTCTGGTGATGGAGGTGGAAGCAAAAAAATCCAGCTGATGGACTTTTTATACATGAGGAGGAATTTCCCCCTGGAAAGGGAGCTCAGGCCTTGGCAGGGGCTGCCCAGGGAGGTTTGGAGTGCCCAGGGAAGGATTGGATGTGGCACTCAGTGCTCTGGGCTGGGGACAAGGTGGGGATGGGGCACAGGATCCACCTTCAGTGATCCTGGAAGGCTTTTCCAACCTCAGCGATCCTGGGATTTTTACACCAAGGGAGTTCGAAACCTTCAGGAAAAAGGGGATACAAATTTGTCCCACCAGTTCCTCCTCACTGCTCCCCTCCAGCTCCCACCCCTCCCTCCAGAGCAGCAAGGGGGAAATCGGGGAGGTACAAAAATGGGGGAAAAAATCGAGGTGTACAAAAAATTGGGGGGAAAAATGGGGGTGTACAAAAAATAAAGAGAAAAAAATGGGGGTGTACAAAAAATCAGAGAAAAAATGGAGGTGTACAAAAAATGGGGGGAAAAATAGGGGTGTACAAAAAATGGGTTGGAAAAAATAGGGTGGGTACAAAAATGGGGGGAAAAATAGGGGGTTACAAAAAATGTTTTGGAAAAAATCGGGGGGTACAAAAATTGGGGAGGAAAAAATCGGGGGTTCCAAAAAATGATGAGCCCAGTGTTGGCACCTTTTCATTGGGAATTTTGCTCCCCTGGCTGCAGGTTAGGAATTGAATATTTCTGATCATTTCACTGCAGAAAACAAGCACATTCCCCGCTCCAAGACACGTTTGGGTCGCTAGAACATCCTTCCCATTGCCACAAACCCCTTCTCCAGGCAGCTCCAAAGCCCTTCCAGCCCAGAACTCCAGCGGGCAGCAATTCCTGATCCCCAGCTCTGCTCTCACCTGGCTCCAGGAGCACTCAGTGCTGCCACTTCCCAGCAGGCCCTCTCTAAAAAAAGGAAGGATGAGCCATTTTTAGACTCTGGAGATGGATTTAACAGGTTCCAGGTGTTTGGAGAGGGCTCTGCTTTGCTGTCCGTGCCTGGCCGGGTGTTCCCATGGACAGGGAGTGTCCCTGTGCCCTGCCCAGCCCTCAGCAGTGCCAGGGGCATTCCCGTGCCAGGGTGGCAGTCCAGGGAATTTCCTCTACCTTGGCAGACTGAGGGCTTGATCCCTGTTACCCTGGGATTCCTAGAATCCTACAATTGGATGGGAAGGGACCTTAAAGCTCATCCCATTCCAGCCCCAAACCTCCCACTGTCCCTCCAAGCCTCATCCAACCTGGCCTTGGACACTTCCAGGGATGCCAGGGGCAGCCACAGCTTCTCTGGGCAACCTGTGCCAGGGCTTTCCCACCTTCCTAGCCAGGAATTCCTTCCCTGTATCCCACCTAACCCTGCCCTGCTTCAGCTTAAAGCCATTCCCATTTGTCCTGACCCTCCCTGCCCGTGCCAAAACCCCTGAGGTTTGAGCTCACTTGAATTGACAGTGATGGTGTTTAAAAACATCCTAAAGAACAGACAAGGTTCCCATGGGAGCAGCAGGGATGGATTGGGATCTTGGACATGGCACACTGGCCTTGGGCACCTCCAGGGCTGGGCACTCCAAACCTCCCTGGGCAGTCCCTGCCAAGGCCTGACCACCCTTTCCATGAAAAAAAAATTCCTCCTGGTGTCCAAAACAATTTCCCTGCTCTTACCAAATATGGGAGTTGGATTTTTAGGGCGAGATCAGCCCAAAGAAGGTGCTCTCTTTGTTCACAGAACCTGAGGTTTGCTCCAGAGCCGGTGCCAGCACATTCCCATCTTATTGCTTCTTTTCTGGGAAAAAAGGGTCGAAAACATCCTGAAAAAAAGCGCCAGTTCTTCCCAGAGAAGCCAGTCCTGCTGCTCCCTGTCCCTTGGCTGCCTGTGCTGGCAGCTGTGCCATGTGCAGCCCTGTCTGCAGGGCAGGAAATGCCATCCCGAGGCTTCCAACTGCAGGAACCCAGAGATGGAAAAACAGGGAAGTGTGAAGGGATTTAGTGCTGCAGCCCTGGGGCTGGCTCCCACCACCCAGACAAATTGCTCCTGGATGCTGAGCCACAGGCAAATATTGCAGGCTGAGGAACTGATTGTCTCAACGAGCAGGTGGTTCATTTTCCTCCCTGCAGTCCATGAACCAGCCCTGGGATGTCCCAGGGACAAAATTCCTTTGAAACCACAGGAGCATCAGAGCTCCCTCCCGTTTCCAGCTGGGAATTCACTGAGGGTTTGACTCCATCAGCTGCTTAAATTCACATAAAAGCACTGCTAAGCCTTTTCCCTGGATTTTGGCTGCCTCCATGGCTTTTGCTGTGGAATGGGATGGAGGAAGAGCCCCCCCTTGGCTATGGAAGCTGCAGGGAAGGAATCCCCCGTCATGGGGTCTGTCTTCACCCTCCTTATTTCTTCTGCCTAATTCCAACTTCCAAACTCCTTTTCCCTGGCTTCTCCCACCTCTTCCCCAGTGTTATTTCAGCTTTATCCTGCTTTTCCAAGCCATGCCTTGTGCAGTGGCCAGAGGGGCTGCAAAGCCTGGGGGTCCTGTATCCTCTCCTGCTTTGGGATCCCCATTCCCAGCGCTGCTCCCAGTGCCAGACAGGAGTAGGGTGGTGAAGGGGCTGCTCCAGCAGGCAGGGATGAGGCTGGATGAGGGAATTCCAGCTCATGGGAAGGATGCAGCATCAGCAAGAAACCTGCCCTGGCTTGTAACAGGATAAAGATGTTTCCCTGCCCAGCCAGCCCAGGAGCTGGGATGGATTAGGAACAGAGCAGGGATAAATTAATCCCAGGGCTGCCCACCTCCCTAAAATCAAACTAAACCCCAGCACCAAGAGGAAACAGCCTCAGGTTGCACCAGGGGAGGGTTGGATTGGATATCAGGAAAAATTTCCACATGGGAAGGGCTGTCCAGCACTGGAAGAGGCTGCTCAGGGCAGTGGTGGAGTCACCATTCCTGCAGGGATCTGAAAGTGGAGGTGGCATTCAGGAATGGGGTTTACTGGTGGGCACAGGCACCCCTAATGCTCCTCACCATGGACAAAAGCCATCCCAGAGGGATTTGGGCATCAGAAGGAAATCAGAGGGATGCAAACAGGAGTCCTACTTTGCTCTCCTAGTTAACAAAAATCGCGGCGTTCCAAAGGTTCTGTGGTAAATGAGCCCCTTCCCACCCCAGATCCATCTGCCAGGAAGCTCCTTTCAGATCTTCCAGTGGACAAGGGGGTGTTCCCGTGCCATCTGCATCCCACATTTGTGCTGGAGTCAAGTGTGACGGATCGAGGCACCCCTTCCAACACCAGGGTGGGAGGAAACCCAGCTGAGCATCCCAGCCTGGGGGCTCATCTGAGGTTCTGATCAGCACATCCCATCTGCCAGAGCTCCCAAATCCCAAGGGATCAGTGCCCCACATCCTCCTCTGTCCCTTCTCCCATCCCACTCGAGCTGCTCCTCGGTACAACCCTGCAGGTCTTTTTTGCAGCTCTCGACATCTTTTGGTAATTAGAGATTTTAAAGAGCTTGAAAACATCCTATAAACCTGAAGGTTTAATTATTTCCATGCCCTCTGCGCTTTCCAGACAGCTTTTTTCCAGCAGGATGGGGCTGGGAGGGACCCTCAGCTCCAAGTGAGAATTCAGGAGGATCCCCTTTGCTTCCTTTTAATTGAGCTGGTAACAAATAAAGACAACTTTCCCCACCCACAATCCACATTAAACCAGACTTTCCCCTTCCTCCTGCTCCTCCACAGCTGCTCCCTCCCACCCTGGAGCAGGAACCCTCCCACTCCTGGCTCCAGGAGGTTATATTTAGTAATTTAGGAGGGGGGAAAAAAAAATCCTAAATAAATACAGTTTTGCAAACTGTAACTAGAAAAATACATCACTTTGCAGCCAGTTTTCCTCCAGGCCAGACTGCTGGGAAAACACATGTTTTTTCCCCTGCTGGAAGTGGTGCAGGTGCTCAGGGAAAGGGAAGCCAGGCCCAAATCTCCTTGTTTATTGTTGGAGAAGGGGAAAAAAAACCTCTCTAATGACATCATGAAACCTCTGGACACTTCACCCCCTGCCCAGATCCTTTAAAAGGTGCTTTTTCCCTCAGCACCATCGGGAATGTCACACAAATACTGGTTGGAGACTGCTGGGTATCAGGGAGCAGGCTAAGCCTGGCTTTGTCAATCCCTGCCTAGATGGGACACCCACCCAAGGGAGAAGGTCCCTGGGGGTCAGGTCTGTGCCAGAAACACCAGAGCTGGTTCCTGGGCCAAAGGCTGAGGAGCCTTCCCCCCAAAATCCCATCCCATACCTTGCTTGGGTATTTTATCCTTCAGATCTTCCCAGACACCCAGAGCCAGTCAGGATCAAAGGGGATATTTCATCCTTCAGCTCCTTCCATGGACCACCTGGATCCCTCCAGCTCCTGCTATCCCCATCACCACAGGCTGCAAAAAAAAAAAAAAAGGAAAAAAATCACTATTTCAACTTCTTTTCCACACTCCCATCATGTAAAAAAAAACCCCAAAAACCTCCTGGCCAAGCCTGTGTGGCTCTGGAGTCAGGATGGATTGTTAAGGGATTTATGGCAGCAAACCCATTCCTCTCCTTTGGTGTTTCTGAGCTACCCATTCCCACCTGAAAACCATCCAGGGGGGCTCTAAATCCTCCTCCTGCTGGAAAAATCCCACCAGCACTGCTGCAGTTGTTTCTCCTCTTGGGCCCTTGGCAGCCAGTCCCAGCCCCAGGGATTTATGGAAGGGGAATATTTGATGGTGTTTTTCACCTCACACCCTTTCCCACAGCTCCTTTTCATCACCTTTCCTGATGTTTGATGGGTCTGGAGCGAAGGGGAAGGGCTTTGATGCAGCCTCTGCTTTGGCAGCCAGACCTCCCCAGGCTGGGGGAAGGACAAAACAAAGCTGGGACACCCCAAAAAATTAATTTTGCAGATATTTCTGGCATTTTAGGGGCTGCTCTGGAACCCAAGGGAAAGGATTTTCTCCTCCTCCAGGTGTTTTATTTCCCTCCTTGCTCAGGGCTGGGAGTGCTGGGTGAAGGTGGCAGCAGTTGGGTTTTGGAGGGCCAGCCTTGTCCAACCCCCCCATCCTGCAAAGGATGGCCCAGGATTGAGATTAAAATTGCATTTTCATGCCCAAAATCCCCAGTGCAGGGCAGGCAGCCTGTGCCCCAGACCCCCTGAACATCCACTGGCACTGCTGGGAAGCTGTTGAGGATTTAGGATTGAGGATTCCCATCCCAATCCAGGACCTTCTAACACAGCCCCTGCTGCAGCTACACAGACAACACCCAGTTATCAGCACAATTGCCCCCCCCAAAGCACCTGGGGAGGCCCCCAGCCCCCAAATTTCCATGTTTTGCCACTTCAGCTCCCTCCCTCCTCCCCATGTGCACGTCCTCAGGCAGATAAAAACAACCTTGCTGCTGCTTTTCCCGAGGTTTCTTCTTTCCCCACCACAGGAAAACACAAAACACCTGAAAAATAAGCACTGTGCCCCCCCTGCTGCTCCTCCTGGGGGAACTCACTGGAAAGGAAACTGTGGGAATTCCCCCTGTACCAACCCAGGGACACCTCCCACTGGCCCAGGTTCCCCAAGTCTTCACCTAAACCTCTCACCTTCCAGTTCCCAGCCATTCCTCCTTGCCCTCTCATCATCCACCCACACAAAAAGTCCCTCTCCCTCTGGTTTTCAACCTCCTTCAAGGATGGGAAGGGACCTGACTGAGGTTTCCCTGGAACCTTCTGAGCATCCATCCCAGCTTTGGGGAAATCTTCAAGCAGAGACTGACAGAGCTGGTTTATACACAACGAATTTACTGATCTTTTCCATGGAATTCACTCCCTGTCACAGCCCTTGGGCCCCTCTCTCCCAGAAAATGCACATGAGAGCAGGACTCACCCACGGGACAAACCTCCCAGGCATGGGGAGAGTCCTCCAACACAACCTGCTTCCCACAGAGACACAGATCCAGCTGGGACAAAACTTCCTTGGGGTGGGAAAAGGGGCAGAACCACCTTGGGGTCTCTCTGGGGCAGATTCCAGCTCCAGGAGAGCCAAGAGGTGCCCCCCGTGCCTGCTGTGCTCCCAGCCTGAGCCACCCATGGAAGCAGCTCCAGCTCCAAACCCACCTTTCCAAAGGGACCTGGCTGATATTTGCCAGAAAATCCCCCAGACCTGCACAAAACGTGCAGCATGTGAGGGTGGGTGGGCTGGGAGAGCTTCTGGCACTGTGGAGGGGGTCAAAGAGCCAGAAAATGCTGGGGGATCCTGGGATCAACCCCTAAAATACTGGGGTGAGCTCTGGGATCAACCTCCCAAAATCATGGCAGGGTCATGGGATCAGCCCCCAGAAAATGCTGCAGTGAGCTCTGGGATCAGCCCCCAAAATGCTGGGGTGGATCCTGAGTTCAGCCCCCTCAGTCCTGGGGTCAGCCCCCCAGACTGTGGGTGGATCATGGGATCAGCCCCCCAAAATGCTGGGGTGGATCCCGAGGGCCAGCAGGAGAGGCTGAGGGGCCCTGGTCTCTCTGCCCACCCCAGAGGTGCCCCTGAGCCCAGAGGGAAGGGGGGGGGGGCTGGGGCTGCTCGTGCCGGGAAGGGGAAAAAGAGCAAGTGGGCCAAAAGTGTCGGGTTTGCCTTTAAAATGCATGGGGGAGGCAACTGCCAAACACATCCATCTGACAGCGGATCCAGCCATGGAAAACCCTTCTCAAATTCCCTGGGCTGGCTTCCCACCGCCCAGGACTCCTGCCAGGATGCTGTGCTTCAAACAGAGCCCCTTTTCCATGCCCCGCTCCGGCCACTTTCCGACCTGCCACCGGCTCCTCCAGCTTTGCACACTCAGCGTGTGCTTTTCCCCGGCACGTGGGACGTGGTGCAGCCTTCAATCTGGGCTCCATTTAAACAGAAAGCCATATCCACACCTGTCTGGGCAGTGGTGGCTCGGCCAGGAAGCCCCAGGCTGAGCAGGGATGGAAAATGATTCAGGGGCTCAACTGGGATGCCAGCCAGGAGACTCCACACTGCCCACCCCACCCCTCCTGCTGCTCCTCCCTGTGTCCATCAGCACCTCTCCCTGAAGGGGACAGTATTTAACACTCTGGGAACCTCCTCAGGTGCATCCACAGCTTGTGAGGTCCACAGAGCCCAAACACTGCCAGGTTGGGAACATCTCCCACCTGGACCTCGGGGCTTGGTTTTAACCCAATAATTGGTCCCAGTTTATCCCTCTGGTCCCTTGTGCTTTATCCATTGGCACTGGAAGCAGAGAGGAGTTTTGCAGGAGAATGCACAGGGGGTTGCCATCACACTCAGCCCATGGTGGGAGCCCCACTCTCCCTGGGGTTGGAGGATGGGGGGGTGGCTTTGGGGGACGGTGACAGAACAGAGCCACCCACACATGGAGGTTTCTCACCTCAGCCCAGCTGGATTCCAAAGGGTTTTTATGATCACCTTGGATTTTCCCCCTCATCACTCATTTAAACCTCTCCTAGCAGGCTTTAGGCTCAGAGCTGCCCTGGGATCCCACAGGTTCATCTTCTTCCAGCAGAGCCACTCCAGCTTCTCCTCCCACCCCATCCGATGCTCCTCCCTCTGCTTTCCCACCAAAAAAAATCTGAATGGGCAGAAAATAAGGAAGCTGGAATAGGCACAATATAAATATTTGTGTTTATACACACAGATCACAGAAATCACTGAATGCTTTGGGCTGGAAGGGATCTTAAAGCTCATCTTATTCCACCCCCCCTCCATGGGCAGGGACACCTCCCACTAGCCCAGGTTGCTCCAAGCCCTGCCCAACCTGGCCTGGAACACTCAAACCCACAATATTTCTTCTTTATCTCCCCAGAACACACCAACACCAGGATCTAAACATCTCTGACTGTCTTGCCTTGCTGCAGCCTGTGACGTGGGGGCTGCTTCCTCTCCCTCCTCCTCTCCCAAGCGATTCCCATCCATCCCATCCTATCAAATTGGCAGCTCCAGCTCTGCTGGCTCCAAACAGGAGCTGTGTAAACAGCAAACCACAAGAAGGGGCTGGATTGAAGTGGCTGGTGTTGAGAGGCTCCCTCTTGCTTGCTTTTTCTCCCTGCTCCTTGCTGGAGAAAACAGCAGCTTCCTGCTGGAGGGAGAAGGTGATGGATGCCAGGAGAGAAATTCGGGTCCCTCCACTCCCAGTGAGTGTGGAGGAGCCCCAGCCTGGCCCTGATCCAGCCTAACCAAGCTGGGCTTGTCCCCCAAACCCACCCTTCCCCCTCGCCAGGGGTCACTGCTGCCAGTCCTGGTGCTCACCTGGGGACTGGGCACACTGGGAACCTCAGCTCCCACCCTCCATCTCCCGTGCCCTTGGAAGTGATTTTGCACCGGCAGGAGCTGCCATGGCTCCGATTCCCTTCACATGTCGGCTCTCGTTGCATTTTCATTTGTGCACCACATTCAATTCATACTTGCAGTGAGTAGAAGTGGCTCCAAGTCCCCTCCTATTTCCCTGAGCAGAACGGGACCTTGTCCAGGGCTAATGGGAACCAGATGATGGCAGAGGGACGAGCAGGAGAGGCAGTGAGAGGGAGATGGTTCTTGCTGACACTGTCTTTAAGTGGAAACATCTTGCTTTCAAGTCGGAGGGCTTGGGCTGTCAGTGAGGTCCAGAGCCAGGTCCTACCAAGTATTGTTATTCCAGATGAACCTTCATCAAAGGGGGTGAAAATCTGTCCCTGGGCTTCTCTATAAATTATCTGCCACGAAATCCAAACATGAGCCTCCGTATAATTCGCAGCTGCAGCAGCTCTGGGATAACCCAGGAGTGCCCAGGCCGGGAGGAGGATCCACGCTGTGTTTGTGGCTCTGCAATTTCTGTGCTCAGCTCTGGCCACCCCACTGCAGCAGGGCAGGGCCAGGAGGCTCTGAGGGTGGCACCGGCCTGGATGGGCCCAGGGAGCAGCTCAGGGGGTCTGTCCTTAGGAATGAAGTTCTGCCAAGGGAGGAGACCCCACATCCTTCATTTCAGAGGGAACAATGGCACTGAGGAGGAGCAGGGCCTGGAGGACTGGAAAGAGCTGTTCCACCTGCCTCTGGCTGCAGCCTCGGGGCCACCACCCCTGATGGCAGCTCTGGGACCACCCTGTCCACACTGGCACCACCATGTCCAATGGCAGCACTGGGATCACCCATCTGAAGGAAAAACATCGGGATAACCACACCCAGTGTCAGCACTGGGATCACCACAGGAGGCAACAGTGGGGCCACCACCTCTGGCAGCACTGGGACCACCTCAGCTGGTGGCAGCGTGGCCATGGCCCGTCCCTCCAGCCCTGTGGGGCTAACACAGCCCAGCCAGCCCCACTCACGGAGCATTCCCACCTCCCACCATCCAGCAAACCCCTGGAGCAGCAGATCTGGTGCCTGAGCTGCACCCCCAGAGCCAACCATCGTGGCCTTTGGAGCAATGCCTTGGCCAGCAGCTTGGATGGAGCACCCCAGACCCATGTGGTGACACGGCAGTCACGGGTCACAGCAGGGCCTCGTTGTTGCTCTCCACAGTGCTGCTCTCCACGAGCCCAGCCAGGCTCTTTCCAAGAGTTCCAGCAAGTGAAGGGTTAAACTGGTGTAACCAGCTCAGCCTGGGTAGCTCGGGAAGCCAAGTGGTGAGTAAGGGGCTGATGAAGCCTCTGCAGCTCTGACTGGGGATGGGTTGGGCCATGTGAAGTCTCTCCAGCTTGGATTCGGGATGGATTGGGCAATCTCTTTCCCAGGAGCATTCCTTGTGCTGGGGCCGTGGATCTGCAGCTCTCCATGTGCCCCCAGCCTCCTGGACACGGACCCCACGGGCTCTGCTCTTCCCACAGCCCCTGCCAGCCCGGCAGGGTCCACTGTTCCCCATGACTCGCTTTAATTCCTCGCGTCCACCCGGGCAGCAGCTCCTTCCTCCCGCTCGGCAGCGCCGGGGAATGGGACACGGACAACAGAGGCGTGGGATGAGGGCGGAGGGAAACACAGCCCTTGTCCGCGCGTGGGCTCTGGATGCTGCGAGGTGGGAGGTGGAGGGGGCACAGGGGACCCCCAGCCCGGGTTTGGAAGGGGTTTGGTTCTTAAACCCGGCCCAGATTCCTGAGCACCCCCCTGCCCGTGTCCCGCAGGAGCTGTGCTCATCCCAAGGGATCCACGCTGCCACGCGTGTCCCCCGGGACCCCGCTGCCCTCCATCGTGTCCCCGCGCCATCCCCTGCAGCCGAGGGAGCTCGCAGGCCCGGGAGCTTCCCACTCGCAAGGATTTACGCTCAATTGTACCCCGGCAGAGCCGGGAGAGGGAGCCCGAGCCACCCCCAGCGCGCTCCCGGCGCCCGCCGGGCCCCACGCCCTCCGTGGATGCTCCGCTCCCACCCTGACCCGCTCTCACCATCTCCCGGGACATTCCAGAGGGAATCCCGGCTCCCTCCAGCCAGGGCTCTGCTCCGCATCCCCCCGTGCAGGGAACGGGGCTGCGCGGATCCAGTCCCGCTGGAGTATTCCCGTCAGCCACCCCACAGGCATCCTCCTGCGCCGTGGCAGACACATTCCAGAGAGCCGGGGGACCACTCCACCCTCTCCATGGATGCGGGAATGCTGCTGATCGAGCTGATGGAGACGCAGGAATATCTGGTGCTGGTGGGGATGCAGGATCTGCGGTGCTGATGGATTTGCAGGGATGTCTGGTGCCGATGGAGAGGCAGCTCCAGCTGGAAGAGGCCAGAACGCAGGACATGGATCCTGCACCGTGCCAGCAGATTTTAACTCCTTTAACCCTTTGCTGGTGCTGAGCACCTCCCTTTCCTGGGAGCTGCAGGAGGATCCTGGGAACACAACCCCAGTAAAGCCCCATCTGAGCCCCCTTGGAGGGCAAATCCAGTCTGGGGCTTGAGTGGGGTCCCAACAAACCTTCAGAGCCAAACCCCAGTCACAAACCCCTGGGATCTGTCACTGCCTTAGTTTGGATCCAAATCATAATAAACTCCTGCCCAGTCTGCCCCAAACTGGGGGATTTGGAGTTGCTGTGCTGCACTGGTGCAACAAGGTGAGCTGTTATCCTGGCCATGGCACAGGAATTCCCTCAGGACAGGGAATTGCCCCACACTTGGCAGGGCCACTGTGCAGCTTCCCCATCACTCCCAAATCTCACCAGATTCCCCAGCATCCCACTGCTGCCTGGCAAGGGCTGGCTGGGGGCTACACAGGCTCCCACTGCTTTCCCTGCTCCCCAGAGGGGATCCCAGCCCCTTTCCCAACATTTCTGATCTCCCCCCAGCAGCATTTGGGGCTTGGGGGGCGCTGGGATTTACCACACTATGGAAAATCCGGATCCCTCCATCAGCAGGAGTAGAGCCTGAGAGCCCCTCCCCAGCCTTTCCCTTCCCGCCCTACCTCCTCCAGCTGTCCCAGTTCACAGCTCCAAGCGAGTTGTTTCCATCAGTTAATTGGTGCTAATTAATTCCAGCAGCTCCAGACAGTGCAGGAGGCTCAGTGGGATCCAGGCTCTGACTCTTCACCCCACGAGCCACGGCAGCCGGGACACGGCGGCTCCTCCAAGGCTTTGGAGCAACCTGGATTCTCCTCCTCTGGCTCCTCTGGGCCTCAGTGTGCCCTGTCTCAGTCACCTCCCCAGCTCTGTTTCATTTTAAGCATCACCTCTGTCCACACTGATCCTCCTGCTCTCTCCACCAGCTCCCGGGAAATGGGGTTTTGTTGGGAAAAGGTCACCGCTGGGTGCTTCGGGATTTAGAGGTGGCTTCTCCTGCTGGCTGATGTCATTAGCCCTCCGTTAATTGCATTAACCTTTCTCACAGTCTCCAGCCCAGCTCACATGGTTTAGCTTTAAAAATAGTGGATTTTTAGGAGAATATCAGTGAGCAGAGGGTTTTACAGCTCCCTCATCGTCAGCCCCACTGTGGTTTTACTGGGAGGCTCAGCGCTGGAATAAAACTAATCTTTCATCATCAGAGTCTTGGCTGCATAATCTCCTTATAAAAAAGGAAATCCTTTGTTTATTGGCAGGGCTTTTCTTTAAGGGGAATTGGAAATGCATTTGGTGTTGACCTCGAGGCTTTTTAATTCAGCAATGATAAAATAAGTAAGTTGGTGCAACGTCCAGCCTAATGGCTGGATGATTCTGGGCCTGGGCTGCATCCTGCTGCTTTCATTCCCAGGTAACCAGGAGACAAGGAGCTAGAGTGCTATTTTTTTTCTAAGTATTTATTCTCTCAATCTCCAAGAATGAAGATCTTTAAATAGGTGGGAAAATTCCTGGTCTGTGGCTGGTGTGAGGATGTGCAAAGTGATACAGGCCAGGGATGCTCTGGTGTCTCCTGGTACCCTGCACTACTCATTTTATTAAATTAGGTTCCTGGATTTATTTTGAGTCAGGACCATCAGGAGGGTGATTTTTCTCAGTGCTGGAAGAGGAAGGGGGATAAAAATACGCAGATTTTTTTCTCACAGCAGTGACTTTGTGGCAGCTGTTCAGGCCCGGACTGTGGAGGTACCTGAGCTCACGGGGGAACATCAGAGCCCTGAGTAACCCTGAGTGCCACCTCCAGTCTGGGCCACCCTGCACTGGCCTGGAAAATGGAGCTGACAGCTCTGGGACACGGCAGACACAGCTCTGGGACACAGCACCGGGCTCTGGTGTTGTCACTTGTCACCATCTATAACAGGAGGGGAAAAAGAAATGATTTTATATGTGAAGGTAAACAAGGACACGGGTGGATGGTTCTGGATGCTACAGGACCCTGGAATACACGTGGAATATACAAATATACATGGAATAGGAAAATGTACATGGAATAGATAACTATACATGGAATAAATAAATGTACATGGAATAGATAAAGGTACATGGCAGAGATAAACATATGTGGGTTATATAAATATATATGGAACATATTCCCCATCCCTGGAAGTGTCCAAGGCCAGGCTGGAGCAACCTGGGCTAGTGGAAGGTGTCCGTGCCAGTGGCAGGGGGTGGGAACGAGATGATCTTTAATGTCCCTTCCCGCCCGAGCCATTCCATGATTTCCTGCCCCTCCGGGATGCCCGGCCGGGGGGTGGTGGCCAGCGAGGCGCGGGCCCTGCAGTTCATCCCCGGCACCCAAAAAGCCGCTGCCCCGCCCTGTGCCATGTGCCGGTGCCCCTGCAGAGCTGCGCCGCAGCCCGGCGCCCAGAAACCCGCATTTACTTCATCGCTGGGGAGCCGGGAGCGCTTCACCCTCCCCGTGCGTTCCTCCTGGGGACCCCGGTGGCTGCTGCGCTGCGGGACGCGCTGCGGGACGCGCTGAGCTCGGGCCGTCCTGCCCTCCGTGCATCCCCGCATCCCTCTGCGCTGGGCGCAGGTGCCCCGGGCCGGGGGATTTGGGGCCGGCAAAGGGTTAAAGCGGCCGTTCTCCCCCCCCGGACCCCCCCTCGTGGGCCGTCCCCCCTCCCCGCGGGAGGCGGCTCCGGTGACATCACCGCCCCGCCGCGCCGACACCGGCCGGGCGCGGACTGCGCTGCGCTCCGCGCTCGGTGCGGGGAACACCCCGGCCCGGCCTCCTCCTCCTGCTCGCCCTCCTCCTCATCCTGCTCCTCATCCCTCTCCTCCCCTGGCTGTTATTTTTCCCCGCTCCGCGCATCCCGCGCCCCCCCTCCCCGCGCCCGCGGAGCGCTCGCCCCTCCGCGCCACCCGCATGACTGTCACCAAGGTAAGGACACCGACCTGCCCCCCCTCCGCCCCCCGCGCCCCGCAAGGTGCCGACCGGGGGCTGCGGAGCGAGCGGGGCCCGCCCGACCTCTTCCCCTTCCCCCTCCCCGGCCCGAGCGTCCTGCTTTTTATTTCTCTGGTTTAATGGATTTTATTGTCCCCTCGCCCCTCCCGCTCCAGCGGCCGCTCCAGCCCCGCAGCTCTGCTGCAGTTTTAACCCTTGGAGAGGGCGGCCGGCCGGGCCGAGCACCCCCCCGGGGGCTGAGCACCCACCCTGCTGCCGGTCCGAGCATCCCCCGGGGGCTGAGGCATCCCCCAGCCCGAGCATCCCCCAAATTGAGCATCCCCCCCAGACTGAGCAACCCCGCGGGCCGAGCATCCCCCGTGAGCCGGACATCCCCCCAAACCGAGCATCCCCCACCCGGCCCGGGCATCCCCCGAGGGTCGAGCACCCCCTCGGAGGTCGAGCACCGCCCCCCCCGGGCCGAGCATCCCCCGGGGGGACCCCGCTCTAAGCCGCTTTCCGCTCGGCAGATGCTGCCCAGACCTCTACAGGTGGCTGCCGGCTTGGCTGGGAGAGGGGGGGGGAACCTCGGGAATGGTGCTGGGGGGGATTAAGGAGCGAGACGGGGGGGTTCAGGGTGGAAGAGGGTCGGTGGCGGCTGAGCGGGCTCACCCCGAGCAGAGCAGAGGGGCTGGGGGGACGTGGAGCCCCCCAAAGCCGCGCTCTGGCTGCGGGCTCAGCCCCGCGGCTCTCCCGGATTCCTGCGGCGCAGGGAGGGCTGTGCTTGCCGAGGACTGGTGCCCGTTCCTCCCCATCCCCACGAGCCCTCGAGGCCGGGAGTCGAGTTCATCCCCTCCCACTCCCCATCCAGCAGCAGGTCCAGGTTGTGGCCCAGAGCACCCAAAATCCTGCTGGATTCGGGGTGACATGACAGAGTCTGGAGGGAAAGGGGCCACCTGCATCCTGTGGGAGCCCTGGGACCGTGGGAGCAGAGCTGGTCCTGCCTGTCCCACACCCACGGCCTTGCCCTGTGTCCCTGAGGTGTTCCATGCTCCAGCAGGGCACTGGGAGCTGTGCTTGCCCCCCAAAACCACTGCTCTGCTGGCAGGAGGGGACCTGCAGCAGGGAATGTTGGGAATGTCCAAAATACCCCAGTGAAAATGAGGAGAAATCCCTCTCTCCCATCTTTTTCCTTGGCAAATAACTTGTGTTTTGCCCCCTCAGCTCTTTCTGGGCTCTCACCAGAGCTGGCCTTTGTGGTTGGGTATTTTCCTGCCCCTGCCAGACCCACCAACTTCCCTGCTCCAGGAAAAGTGTGTTTCCAGCAATTCTGGGTGCTGAGAGAGGGGCTGATGGGCAGAGCTCAAACTGGGTTTAAAACCAACTGCAACTAGGAGGAAAGAGCCACAAAGCCCCCGTGCAGGGCCACAGTTGGAAGCCAGGCTGGTGAATTTGTAGAGCTCATTAACAGGTTTGTTCTGGGTGTGAACAGATTTATTCGGAGCTGCCTTGGGAAAAGGCTGCAGGGCTACCGGGGAAGCACCTGCAGGAGGAGGGGGAAGGACCCTGCTGGTAATTTTCAAGGAATGGAGGTGCAAAAATAGGAAGTCCTGTGATGAAAGCACATCATTTGCTTTCATCAGATCAATGTAAAGCTCTAACACACCCTATGGATTTTATCTCCTGCAATGTGGACTGAAAGCCCCAGAGTAGGTTCCTGACCTGGCAGAGCATCAGTGCCAGGATCTTTCCAGCCACATTGGGGCCCAAACCCCAGCCCCAGAGGTGGGGAACATGTCCTTCAGTCACTTCCCTGTGGCCCAGGCTGGTGTGGAGAGGAAAAACAAAGTGGCACAAGCACGTGAGGGAGAGGAGATGCTTTTCCTGGGGGTTGGGGCTGTCAGGAGTCTGTGCGAGGTGGGGGTTCAGGGAAGGGTCTGGTGATCCAAAGCTGGGGGGCATGGTGGGATTTGGAGCCTGGGAATTGCCTGGATTTTCCCAGGGGGGAGCCCCAGGGGACCTGGGGAGTCTCCATCCTGCCCAGTCTGACAAAACCAGTAAAGGCCAGAGCTCCCAGTGCTGTCAGGGACTGTTGGGGGTGTTCCTGCAGCAGCTTCCCACGCAGTGCTGGAAACAGCAGCCCTGGCCAGGCTTTTCCAGGCTTTGTAAATATTCCTCAGTCATCCTGAGAGGAAAATCCATTTGAAAACAGGGTGCAGGGGCCTAAAGCCAGGCAGAGCCTTCCTGAGGCATCAGGGCTGCAAGGAGCTTTTCCTGGGATGTGGGGGGATGTGGAAAGGCAAGGAGGGGGCTGGAATATCTGCTGTCAGCATGTGAAACGAGCTGGTTCCATCCCTGTCCCAAGCCACCCCCTTCCCTCCCACGGGAAGGAGCCCAAGCAGCCGCAGCACATCCCAGATCCCAGCTTTTTGGAGGAGTTTGGAACCCGGGAGAGTTTGGGGAGGTTATAAATAGGCTGGAGATGGAGCAGCTGAAATGCAGGCAGAGCCCACGCTCTGGGAGCTGCCCAAATTCTGCCTCCCTGGCCTGGCATGGATGCCATGGCATGGCCACTCCAGCTCTGCCTGGCAAAGCCTCCAGCTGGGAAGGTGCTGCTGGAATCAGGGACAGCTCCATCCCCTGATCCTGCAAGAGCCTGGGGTCAGGTTTGGTCTCTGTGCTTTGGAAACTGCAACCCAGCCCAATTCCAGGAGTTCCTCCATGGCTGGGGGGGTCAGGGGGTAATTCCTCACCCTGGAAAACTCTGCTGTGCCCTGGGGAGCAGGGGGAGCAGGGAGCCAGGCTGAGAGGGAAGAGGGATGAGGGTCATGGGATGGACAACAGAAGGAGCAGGAGGAAGGACATTCACCTGCCAGCAAAGTGGTAACGGGGTGGCTGGGGATGCCCAGTGGGAGTCGTGTGGTCAGGGAAGGGCTGGGCAAATTTACCCTCAGCTCAGGGTGTGTTTTGGCAAGGCAGAAATCCGTGGTGCTCCCAGCTCCCACCCACTGCCAGGGGCTGCTTCCAAAGCCCCCTGGGGGCTTTGGAAGCAGCCCCTGGCAGTGGGTGGGCTTTTGGAAGCACCGGGACATTCCTGGTGGGAAATCACGATGTCCTCTGGCACCTTGGGAAGGGCAGGTTTAGAGTGGCCGAGGCAGATGCTGACCCATGGAAAAGCTGATGGTGGTTCAATCAGTCAGATATTGATTGCAGGCACTGGGCTGTGTCATCAGGGGAAAAGGGCTTTGCAGAAATCAGATTGGGCAGCGTGGACTGGCTGGAGTTCCAGGGAAATAACGGGTCAAGTCTTCTACAAAGTGAATTTCATGGAGCACTGTGTGTGCTCTGATGTTTGGGAACCAACTCCAAACACCTTCAGGGCCTAAAGGGGCTCCAGGAGAGCTGGAGAGGGACTGGGGACAAGGGATGGAGGGATAGGACACAGGGAATGGCTTCCCACTGCCAGAGGGCAGGGATAGATGGGATATTGGGAAGGAATTCCTGGCTGGGAGGGTGGGCAGGCCCTGGCACAGGTTGCCCAGAGAAGCTGTGGCTGTCCCTGGATCCCTGGAAGTGTCCAAGGCCAGGTTGGATGGGACTTGGAGCAACCTGGGCTGGTTGCTCTGTGTGACAATGGGCAGGTGCTCTTCCCAGTGGGAGAGGGAGAAGTTTTCTGCCTCCTTAGGCCTTGAAATCCATGTATTTTTAGTTGGGATTCAGTGACGTGGCAGCTGGAAAAGCCCCACTGGTTTGGGCTGCCCAGGCAGAGATTGACCATAAAGAAATAATAATGGTGTAAAACAGAAGTGATTGTGCAAAATCAAGTGATTGTGTAAAATGGAAGTGATTGTATAAAATCAAGTGACTGTGCCCTTGGGATGGGCTGGGGGCAGGTGTGCAGGGCTGGGGGCTCCTCTGGAGGAGCTGCTTTGCAGCCCCTGTGCTGGCTGCAGGTCCTGGTGCCACAGCTGGGCAGAGCCAGGGAGGTGCTGTCGCTTCCCAGCTGGATGGGGATGGAACAAACCGGTCAGTGGTGGGTTGTTCACGGAGCACAGAACAAGCCCCCTTGTCTCCAGCAGGGTGATCTCCAGCTCTGGTGGGGTTGCTGGGGGTTGGGATGAGGATAAGGGGCTGCTTTGAGTCTGAAAATGGCAGCTCCCCGTTTCAAGGAATATTCCTCATCAAAGGCAACTTGTCCGGCCCAGGGCTCTTTAATGAGTTTTAATTGGGATTCAAAGCAGCATTAATGGGGTGTGTTAATGGGGCCTGGCTGTGGCCAGCAGGCCCTGTAATTCATCCCCTGCAAGGAGGGGTCACCCCCGCCCCCCCTGCTCCTTTTCATGGCAATTTTATCAGATGATGAATAGTCCAATTCATTCCCAGCTCGCTGAGAGCTCCCAATCCCAGATTCCTGCCTCTGAGTCAGTGATAATTACCCAAACGTGGCAGGATGGAGCCAGCTGCTCTGTCCCCCCCAAATCTGGGAATCCCTGGCCGGGAGGGGAGCGGTGCCAAGCTCAGCTCCCAGAAATCCCGCGCTCCTTTGTTCCTGGCAGAGCTGCTGGCAGCGCCAGGGTTGGGCTGAGGAGCTCCAGCCTCCAGCTGGGAAAAGCTCTGGGAGCAAAACTGCCCGGGAGAGGCTGTGCCAGAGCTGCCAAGGTGGGGTTTGAGCTGCAGAGAGCGAGGCATTTGGGATAAACCCACCAGCTCTGAGCCCACAGTGGGGTCCTGCTGTGGATCCCGTGTGGTGGGAACCATGGAATCCTGGAGCAGGGAGGGGGACAACCACCCCCCTGCACCAACAATGGGAATTTCCAGCCTGTTCCATGCCCATGGAAAGCACAGCCCAGGAAGCTCAGCCCTGGGCTGGGAGGTCTGTCTGTCTGCAAGGCACTGGCTGGGTGCCAATCTCATCCCCCATCATCCCAACGGGAGTCAGACCTGGATTTTCCCCTCTCAGGGTGGTGGTTTCTTCCACCTGCTGTGCAAATCCCTCC